AGTAAAGGCAATTGAAAATGGCGGCGGGCAGGAGGAGAAGAAGAAGACGAAGAACCGGGCATAATATAGTAGTAGAAGCTGGAGCGAGCAACAAAGGAACTTTCTGGCGCCGACGCACTCCTGCGTGCTCGCTCCGGGAAGAAGCTCCAGAAACATAGTGCAACGGAGACACGGCGCGCGGGTAAATTTGTCTTCAGCAGCGGGGCTGATGCGAGGCTGGTGAAAGAGCGGGCGCGGCGCGGCGGCGGGTGAGCGGGGCGAGTGGAGCGGCTGGGGTGGGGTGGGGTGGATGAGGCGCAGATGGGCGAGTGCGGGTGAGGTGAGGGCGAGGAAAGGCGAGGACGACGTGAAACGTGCGATGGACGGCCCTCGTAGAGTCGTCGGGCAAACGCAGCCTCCCAAAAGGAGACTTACTTTGTATCATTTGAGGATTTGTGGAAGCAAATTTTTTTCAAACATGGCTAAGGATAATAAAAGATATCCTATTGGACCCCTTTTCGATTCGGACAAATCTTTGATAAAATTGTCATGAAATTAAACTATGTTATGGTAACACACTTTGTTATTTTGAAGATTAGAATACAATTATGTTTTAATCACATTTGATTTTTCAAAACTTTGTGTAATCAGCCTCTTTTAATGAGAAGTTGTTGAAGTGGTTGAAGTTAGAATTTGTCTTAAAATTATATAAACATTATTAATATTCGAAAGAAATGTAGGTTAAATGATTAAAATGAGTAATATTACAAAATGGTAAAATGAAAAAGCTCGAGCTCCAGAAATGGTTTCGGGTACGTTCAAAAAAGTTAAACTTTTATAATTTTTGAAAATTCAGGCGCATTAATGAAAACGGGATTCATGACATGTTATTACGTTCACTTCGGACTCTTCGGGCAAGACTCTTTGAGAAACATTCTGGTACTGTTTTTAGTCCTAAAGTCTTCATACATAGTATGGCCAAAATCAAAAGTTCCTTTTTACATTCTCAGGGTCTTCAATTTTTCTAGATCAATTCAGGAATATCTACTTTGGAGAAAAATCCTGTGAACGATGTTAGGCCCTATCACATTAATTAGGAAGTCCTCCCATATTTGAACAACTGGAAATGAAACACTAAATAAATATATGAAGAATTTGTTTTAGTGCGAAACAATATTAATTATTTAATAGTGCAACACAGTATTCAAATAAAAAAAGAAATTTCTCAGAAAAATTTCTTAGTAATTTTAGTATTGTACTATTCATTTTTTTTTTCAATTTTCTGTGTACTATGCATACAATTACAATAATCGTGTATCGCGCACGGTTCAGCGATCAAACCCGATTTTAGGCCGTCCGAACAGTAGCTTGCTAGCCAGCCGTCAGAATTGTAATATATTCACTCACGATTTAGTTTCAACTCAGAAGTATTACACAAGTTTCATGACAACGTTTATATCGAGAAAACTTAGTAGATATTGCTTAAAGTGTCATGATATTTTTGGTCATTTTCAAAAATCCATTAAAAAATGAATGCAGATATTTCGAGATAATTGCTTTGCGAAATTCAGACGTCTTGATATCACTACATTTCAATAAGTCAAGTGATTTTTTCAATATTTTGCCTGGATTCCAATCGCAACTCGAAGTTCTAATTTAGACGTAATAAAAAGATATTAAGAACACGTATGAAATTTATTTTTACTACATTTACAATGCACGTAATATTAAATTCGTACCGTGTCTGAAGACGTTTCATAATTTAGAGAACTGCATTTTCTAATACGTTTACGGAAATAACTTGCATGACTTGCGATTTATTTAGAGAGCATATGAAACTAGTAAATGAACTGAAAAGAGTATGAATTGATGTGAAATGATCTCACAATGAAAAAGTATGGATGCTAAAAATCGCTGAAATATATATTCATGCTCTTGCATTACATAGGAGCCGAAATATTACATTCGCGAGGCAGTATTAAATTTCGAGACTTCTTAGCTGAGCGACAGCATCAACGTAACAAGCGAAAAATTATAGAGGATGCCTCTTGGATGTACTATATACTGTTGACATCCCTTTACGCTCTGTATATGCATGTAATCCTGCACTCAAATGTATCGTCTTACCCAAGCAAACCTCATTGACAGCGCTTGCAGGTTGCGAAACATGTGAGAGCGCCTAACACAATGCGTTGACGGATATAGATTGCATTAACATGCAACTCATTCACGCAAAACTTATCAAAGGAACAGCAAGCACTTCTCATTAGACTATCTCATTAGAAAAAACAACGGTGTTATTTTCATAAAATGGCCTCACATTTTAAAAATGAAACACGAACTTTAAATATTTATACATTTTTCTTTAGGAATCAATATCTGAACAACAGAACTAAAATGCATATGTAATATAAACTGATATTATAATTGTACTGATAATGTGATCTCAGGAAAATGTTCTTTGTCGAAACTAATCCTAAAAAGGTACTTCTTACTACTAGAAAATTTCAGTGAAATACCTTGTTATCAATAGTTTTGTTTGTACTTTGAAACAACAAAACAGTCTACGAAACTTTGTATTTTTATTACAGGTTTTTTTGTAATAAATAAAGTATTGATCTGTGGCTAGAAAATCTACTACAAAAATTCGAAACTAACAGATGTAGCAAGCGGACACAAATGGTCCCGCACATAACTTCGATTGACTGAAAAATATGCAAATGACACTGAACTGTAATAGTATTGTGTGGTTCAATATCATTACCCACCACGAAATTACATTTCACATCACGAAATCAATATCATTACCTACAATGCCTTTCAGAATTTCATAAGTTTCAGGTCATTGAAAATATAAGTAAACTATCGCAGTAACAAGAATTAAAATGCCCATTTGTCATTTCACATTTAAAATGTCTTGGATTTAGAATTAGATTTAGATTTACTTAGCCAAAAAACAGGAAAAACTGTATGTGACGAATGGGGGAGAAGATTATCTGCGCACGTTTTCTAGAGTTCCAGAATCCCTTCCCGTCATATAAACTATAAATAGTTGAAAGATGAGTAAAAGCTTAAAATAAATAAATAAAAATAAATTTTAAAAAATCGCGAGATTAACACTATTTAAAAAATTGACATATTTGCTTTCGAATTATAGGAAATTTATTTGCATCGGCAAACGAATTGCAAGTGTGATTTTCCTCATCGCTAACAAAATAGTAACTCGCCCTTACCTCTACTACCATTACAAGCAAAAGGAGAGTACAACAAAACGTGCGAATATTGAAGCTACATTTACGTCCAGAAGAAAAACAAGGGGCCATTTCAGCATTTGCTCAATGGATCAGGGAAACTGGACAAAACCCGATCATGATGGGAGTCATGGACCCGGAAGCTAAAGTATATTATTCGTTAAAAACAGTCTTTTAAAAAAATATACAATACAAATATAAACTAATTCAATATATATCACAGTTTTGTTAAAAGAAACATAATTTATCGTTTTGATAATCAGTATAGTCTCTAATTGTATACAAACAGTTATGGAGCAGAAACGATTTTACTTTTAACTTAATTTTGTGCACAGACTTCAATTGTTTAACCCTAGAAAACATAGTATCAAAAATTTATATAAATGCGTAAGCAAGGCTTCGAAGGCCATATGTTTTATTCCATATATTTCAATGATTTTTAGAACCAATTTTTAATATATTATTTTGGAGATGGCAGGGGCAAATAAAAATCTTACATACTGTTAATATTGCAGAATAGTTTATTTTTGTTAATGCACGAAAACGACCAAAACAATATTCGAAAGAAAACGTGTTAAATCAAGACATGATTATTCATATTTCACAGACCACTTTTAAAAACTATGAAGCTGTGTTCTTTGCAAGTAGAATGTTTGCATTTTTCACATACCATTTTACTTTATTTGTGATATGTAATATGTTATAAGTTACATGTTATAAGGACATAAGGATTATATTTTTCTCAGAAGTAAACCTTGTGTTTGTAGATTTCCGGTATGTGGTTTTATACCACATCTGGCTATTGCGTCTCGTGTCTTCTGAGGAACGTTGGGGATTTTTGACCTTTCTGTCATATAGTCTTGAATAAGCTGAAATGACAGATCTTTTAAACAAAATCTGCGTTTGTCTGATCTGTTTGAGTTATACTCCGGATGCTGCATACAGAAAAGCACTTGACTATTCAAGGCTGCAACGTCCATGATATTCATCAATAAAGCAAGTGGTCACCCACGGGTTTGCCGTATGAATGTGTAATTTCTTACCATATGATCTATTTTGTCAACATCCCCTTTGGTCTTGTTGTAAAATTGTACAATGTTAGGCTTTTTCTTTGCGCTATTTTCTTCTACTGCTTGATCAGGGTGCATGGTACTGAGCAGTATTATTACTACTACATTTTTCTTTGTAGCGTAGCTGACCACAGTAGTACTATCCTTGAAACAAAAAATTGAAGAATTTACTTCATGAGGCGCAGTGACTTTCATAGCATTGGTAATCTCAGGAATCTCTCTTTGTTTAGTCTAAGTGTTCCAACAATTGTATTTTTGTTTTTGAGAAGATTCATTAATAATTAATCTGCAAATAAATTTGTTGGTGTCATTTTATTTATATTTTCTGTGAAATTACAATTAATGTGATAACAGAGATAAAAATCTTATTATATATCATCTCGTTTTACGGTATTATATTCGTTTCCCCATAACCTAATAGTGAATGGTAATGTCATTGTCAAGAAAATTAGTAATTCGAGAATGAGAGTTTATTTACCAGAAGAATGCTAACTACAAATATGAAAAAAGGCACAATATTAATTTCTCTTCAATTAAACCATTTTAGACGATTCAGAGTTAAAAATACAAAGATTAAAGTACCCTCGCGTAAATAATTATAAGTGGTGTTACGCGATCCCTGCCGAAATACAAGTTTTAATACATGTTGATATTTGTTTTAGTTTTTCTAGCACGTTCAGATCCATGTTTCCTAGAACGTTGTTGTTCATTGTTCAAACGATAATATGTGCGCCTGGCTGAGGAGAAAATTCGCCCGCATCCGCGCGCCGGCGTGTGCTCCCGTGCGCCCATGCGCCCATGCACGCACCCCGCACGCGCCCGCGGGGCTGCCTCGCAACCATCTTGCTCCACACACGAGGCAGCGCGGCGCGCTTCCCCGAGCCGATACACAGGAAATCGCCAGCGGGAACATAACGGCCGGCCAACTTCAATCTAATTCGGCCGGCCAGGCTCCCCAGCCACAGCATCGAGCCGGGAGCAGCCTGGCCGTCTGGGAAGAGGAGGCGGAGGGCGGCGAGAAGGATGACGAGGAGGAAAAGGAGGGGGAGGGGGCATGAAGGGACTCGCTTTCCTTTCCTTTGCGCCCCCTCGCCCTGTCGCACTCACCACCTACCTCCCGATCCCACCACACATCCCCGCCCCCTCCCTCCCGCCGGGGTCAGTGGGTGTGATCTGTTCGCCTGGCCAGCGTTCGCGCTCCCCAGCACGTCGCTGAGAAGCTCCCTACAAGGGAAAACTACGCTATACGGTCGAAGGGTGCCATAAAACTGATACGAAAGCACGTCCGAAAATTTCCCGCAAACGGAAGTAGCCATTCAGCCGCTCGAACGACCCGCCGGGAATCGCTGCGGAGGTGCGGGGCGCAGAAGAATCTGCGGGAGACAGAAAAGACTGGAGAGGCTGGATTTCACGCTCGGTCTCTTTACAATGAACGTAATTACTTGGGCGACGAGGACGGGCGAAGGCGAGGATGGGCAGGGAAGGCGGCGGCGCGCGCCCGGGGAGGACGGCCTGTTCCGCTAATCCAATGATTAGCCGCAGCTCCTCACCTCGCAATCAATTAACCGGGGGCATTTTGCGGAGCTCCCGGCCGTCACTTGCGGCGCAGCCCCCGGCTGGGTGAAGATGGCCTCGAGGAACCACCTTGAGCACGCAAGAAGGTACCGAATACATTTGTTTATTTTACAATTTTCAATCGTGTTTGGAGGGCTGACTCCTTCTCATAGCACATCGTTCTGAACAAGAAAATTAATCTGCTTAGCTTCGAAAAGGGATTTGTGTGGACATCAAAATATGACATTGTATTGGCGAAAGTTTAAGACATGACTAAAAGTGAATAATACAATGTTGCAATGTTGTGGTGTCTTCAGAGTGTGTAAAAAGTTTATATGATTAAAACGCTATTCAGAAAGATCTACAAATCATGTTTTGGAAAGTTTCAAACAGTCCTTCAAAAACTGACCATTAGTAAATAAAGATTCGAGAAATTAAGTATTTTAGGTAAAAGCAGACAAAAATAACAAAAAATGGTGATAAGCATATTTCACAAAGCTCACAAATCTATATCGGGCATCCTTTATCTTTCTCTTGACTCCCACTTTCATATTATTGACTAAAATATTCCACCTCTTTCCTGCTTATAGATTTTGTGGTAAACACATATTAGCATAGTTTCGAAATTTTAACAATCCCACACATTGAGCAATCTAATTTAAACGCAAAAAAGAAAATAAAGGCTATAACGAAGAAAAAAACATTTTCAGATATTTCCGTAGTGTTATCTTTTATAACTAAAAGCCATCGTCACTTAAAGGAAGATCAATTAAAATTCCTTGACATTCGATGTCCATACGATTTGTCCGAATTCATTTGTCTAAACATACAAGGAATTCTTGCGAATGACTATCTCTATGAACAAAATGTTCATAATACATTTGTAGAATGTCCTCGACTTCTTGTATGTAGAGAGCTCGGCGCATTCCTTCGTTGAACTATATGTCTACATTCATGCTTGCCGTTACCAATTTTGAACTTTTCCACCACGTGAACTTTAGAGCTCCGTTGCTCCTTTCATTCCGGGCGCCCATTTCCTGGGCAATGCAAATGAGTCTCATTTGTTCGTGCGGCATTTCCTGAATCTCCTTACGTGTTCCAGGTGAACTGCAGCGACCTTCCACGTCGACGTCACTTAGCGAGGGCGAAGAGCTCGTCCCGACGCTCTGTCGCCGTCGCCGCCGCCGCGACGCCGCCGCCGCCGCCCGTCGCCAGCCTCTCCTGGAGGGCGGCGCTCCGCTCGACGCGTCGCGTCGCGTCGTGTCGCCGAGCGGAGGAAGAAATTTCGGAAACGACAAAGAAAATAGCAGGAAGAGATGAAGCGGGTAAGGGAACGAGGTGCAGAGAGGCAGACAGGAAGTGGCATTCATCAAGGAGAATGAGGGGATTATCTGAGTGCGAAGATGGCAGCCCAAATTACTGGCGCGGCACTCTTAGGCGCGGGGCGGAGGCGCACGA